CAATGCAGTCATAACCTACTATTGTTGCTGTGCAGGTGGTGGGAGATCGGGGTTATTATTAGGCTTTCATTGCTGTTGTCTAACTTCTCACAAATCACCTAACCCATTTTCCCTCAGCTTCTCAAGAACTAAAAGGGATCCAGTCCTTTTTATCATGTCATGAAAATATCAGGTTCTAGTTCAGGAAACGATTTTGGTGTTTTAAAAAACAAACACCAAAATGAGGTGTTTTAATGATTTGTCAGGCCAGATCTATGTCCCCAGTTGTCAAAATAAGCAAACCCTGATACCTGCCTTCAAGGAACTCACGTGCAAGCAGAGGAAATGGACATGTAACTTAAACAACTATAATGTAATGTAATTTACTCAATTCACTAAATTTGGAGCAAAAACACCTTTTACTTAGGATTTTCATCTTTATCCATAATATACTACCACAATCCATTGAGCATAGTGCTTCTTAGTACATTGCTATAGAGGATTCCCAGCTGCTTCTGCCCTGCATGGTTGTCACTGGCTGCATGTTTGGCCACAGCTCATCTGCAGGGAAATCCAAGCTAGCCAATCAGGACCGTGATTGAAGTTTTTACCTTGATTCCACTTGAGTGATGACCCCTGGGTTTCTGTCACAACATAGATTTTTTCTTTTGTGCCCACTGAGGGTCAGAAGGGAGAGTATGGGGCATGACAGAAATGGATGCAAAGCTCTAGAGAGGCCTCAATGAGAAGCAGTGCAGCACAGAGGTCTGCTGACTAGTTTAAAACATAGCAGGGACCAGTCCAGGTAGATTCTGTCTCCGTTGGAGCAGAATAACTGACAATCTGACAGTTTTTCCTTTAGAATGTTGAGACCAAATCCTTCACCAGCTTCTAGAAAGTTTCTAGATTCAGTTTTAAGAGGGTAAAAACAATGAATGGTGCCAAAATTCTCCGAAGTGGGGATGATGCTTAGAAACCTAAATGCCATAACCTGATACTAAGATCATTCTTGTCATACAACCTGGTTTTTTCAAGATCTATATTTTGGTGTAAGTATAATGCAGTTTTTATTTTATTGTTTTCTTGAAAACAACTGTCCAATATTTTTATGTCACCTTCTCCTTTGATCCTTAATGTACAACATTTTTGCTGTGCAGTTAACTTAGGAGTCACAGCCATACCACATTTACCTGTGTGTGAGTGTAGAGTTGGGTCATTAAATAGGAAGAAAACACACACAAAAACCAGAATTGAACTGAGAAGAATATTGAATCTGAGAGCAGAGGTAGGACCTCAACCTCTCACATAGCATTGAATCTTTGGGTTATGAGTGATGGGGCTAAGTCAGTGAGTGATACTGTAACTTTTGGTTGTTGTTCCAGAGAGAGGGAAGAGAGAGAGAGAGAGAGAGAGAGAGAGAGAGAATGAATATCATTGATCGGCTGCCTCCTGCACACCCCACACTGGAGATGGAGCCCACAACCGGGGCATGTACCCTGACCAGGAATCCAACAGTGACCTACTTGTTCATGGGTCTGTGCCCAACCACTGACTCACACCAGCCAAGAGATGCTGTAATGCTTTTAGTTAGAAGGAACACAGGCTCATTAGGAAAAAAATAGAAAGTTCAGAAAAATGGAAGAAAAGGTCACCCGTAATTCCACCGCTCTTAGATAATCACTATTAACATTGTGGTACCTCTCTTTCCAGTTTCTTTTCTTTACATAGTTGAGATCATAGTATGTATAAAATGTTATGGTTTTCTTTTTTACCCTTAAAATGTAACGAGATAAATAAGGCTTTAAAATTTTTTTATGTAGCGATATGAAGGTTATTTGCTTAACAAAACAGAAAATGGAATATTCTTAGTATTTCTTTGAAGTCACCTTCATTTCAGTGACTTAATCTATGTAACTACAATTTAAGTAATGTTAATCCTCACCTGAGGATATTGTTCTCCATTGGCTTTTATATATATATATATACTGGGGTGCCTGGCCAGCCTGGATGAGGGGATGATGGCTGTTTGCAGCTGGTCACACAACCTTCAGGGTGGGGGTCCCCACTGGGGTGCCTGGCCAGCCTGGATGAGGGGATGA